TATATATATTTATATATATATATATATATATATTATTGTGTGTGTGTGTGTGTGTGTGTGTGTGTGTGTGTGTGGTGTGTGTGTGTGGTGTGTATTGGTATATATGTATTATATATATTAATATTATATATATATATATATATATATATTTATATATATATATATATATGTTATATATGTATATATATATATATATATATATTCATATAATATAATATTATATATATATATATATACAGTATATGTACATTATACAGATATATTGTATAATGCTAACCTTGACAGGTGTGATAATAACATATCGATAATAATAATGATTTAATGTGACCGTCAATGACAAATAATGATGATAATTATAATGGTAATAAAGATCACACGGAAAGATAATGCATTAGATCAGTGATTATGGCAGATCAGTATAAAATGATTAATCGATAATTAGTAATAACGATGAAGTATTGACAATAACGAAAAAATGATAAATAATATGATAGTTAGCGACTGTGTCCTTATTCATCTTATTTTCTATCATTGCCATTGAATCTTCATCTTTTATTATGATCGCATGCTATATCATTATTCCTGTTACTACTTTCTATCCTTCATATATTGCCACCTTATTCCCGGTATCTTGTCTTTACGTTTTTATTATAGGGAGAGGGAGAGAGAGAGAGAGAAGAAGAGACGAGAGATGAGAGAGAGAGAGAGAGAGAGGAAGGAGAACGAGAGAGATGAGAAGAGAGAGGAGACAGGGAGAGGAGGCCCAGGGCGAGAGGGCGGCGATGGAGAGAGAGAGAGGCGAGGAGAGGGAGGGGAGGAGGAGGAGAAGGAGGACTAGAGAGCGAGTGAGGATGAGCTAGATGAGCTAGCGAGATGAGAAGACTGCTGAGTATGGGAAGCGTGAATAACGTACGAAGAGGAGCAAGATGGAGAGAGAGCGATGAGGGGATGCGGGAGTAGTGAGGGAGGGGATGAGATAGTGGAGGGGAAGACGTGAGGATGGGATAGTAGAGAGGAAGAGAAGAGAGAGGGAAGATAGGTATAGGAAGAGGATGAGGAGAGATGGAGATGGAGAGAAGAGGAGTAGATTGAGAGGGGGAAAGGAGAGAGAGAGGAGATGAGATAGGAGAAATAGGATAGACTAGATAAAAGAAAGAGAGAAAGAGAGATGGAGATAGAGAATACGATAGATGATAACAGAGAGGTAGAGAGATAATAGATGGATGATAGATGATAATAGATAGATAGATAGATAGATAGATAGATAGTAGTGATCAGAAGAGAGAGAAGAGAGAAGAGAGAAGAGAGAGAGATAGGAGAGATAAGATAGATAGATAATAAAGAGAGAGAGAAAGGGAGATAGGAGAGATAGATAGATAGATAAAGAGAGAGAGAGATAAAAAGATGGAGAGAGAGAGAGAGGCAGACAGAGGAGAGAGAGAGAGAGAGAGAGAGAGAGAGAGAGAGAGAGAGAGAGAGAGAGAAGAGAGAGAGAGGAGAGAGAGAGGAGGGAGAAAGGAAGAAGAAGAAAGAAGAGAAAAGGACAGCTATATCATTACTTTCCCTCTTTTTCTCTTTTTGCTTTGTCTTATTTTTCCCTTTATTTTCTTTCTTTCTTCTCCCTCTTCTTTTCTTTCTCTTTTTTCCCCTTTTTATCATTATGTATCTACTTCTTCGTTCTGCTTCTTCTTGTTCTTGTTCATTCTGTTCCTTTCCTTCTTTCTCTTTTCTCTTTTCCTCTTTCCTTTTCGTTTCCTCTTCCTAACTGTTTACTCTCTTTTCTTTCTCCTTCTACTACTCCATCCTATGTCTTCCTCTTTCCTTCCTTTCCTTCCTTCTTTTCCTTTCTTTTCCCCCGTCCTTTCTCTTCTTCTCTTGCTCTCTTCTTTCTTCTTTCTCCTTCTCTCCTCTTTTTTTTTTCTTTTCTCCCTCCTCTTCTTCTTCTTTTATCTTTTCTCCCTCTTTCTCCTCTTCCTTTTCTTTCTTCGTCGTCTTCTTCCTTCCTCCTTCTATTCTTCGTCTTCTTCTTCTCCTCCTCCATCTTTTCCTTCTTCTCCTCCTCCTCCTTCCTTTTTTCCTTCTTCCTCCTCCTCCTCCTTCCTCTTTTTCCTTCTTCCTCCTTCCTTCCTTTCATTTCTCCTCCTCCTTCCTTCTTCCTCTTTTTCCTCCTTCTTCCCTCCTCTCCTTCCTCTTTTTCCTTCTCTCTCTCCTCCTCCTTCCTTTCCTTCTTCCTTCCTCCTCTCCTTCCTCTTTTCCTCTTCTTCCTCCTCCTCTCCTCTTTTTCCTTCTCCTCCTCCCTCCTTCCTTTTCCTCCTCTTCCTCCTCCTCCTCCTTCCTCCTCTTTTCCTTCTTTCTCCTCCTCTCTTTTCTTCTTCCCTCCTCCTTCCTCTTTTTCCTTCTTCCTCCTCCTCCTCCTGTCCTTCTCTTTTTCCTTTTCCCTCCTTCCTCTCCTCCTCCTCCTCCTTCCTTCTTCTTCCCTCCTCTTTCCTCTTCGCCTTCC